TAATAATTTCAAGTACTGTTCATCCTGAAATGAACTCATCTACCATATTACTAATGTTTGGGGGGGGGCACATTTCACCAAAGTCTTAATGATTATTTTTCTTTCCAATATGCTTTGGAAGTAATTTTTGTCCCCATTTCACAAATAGACTGTTTCCCAAACTTTCTCAGCTGATTTCCAAATTCTCCTCTTCTTCCTACACAATCTCCTTTTCTCCATGCAATCATCTCAACTATTCAAGATTCTATATAGCSTTCCCATAATTATTCCCAAGTTCAGTTATGCACTGATCTGAACTCAACTAATTTTCTATATCGCTCATTTGGTGCCTAATTATACTTCCTCTTGCCACTTACATTGCTAGCCAATTTCTACTGTCTATAGTTGTATCTCAGTATTTAGACAAGGGGTTCTTATTCTGGGATGTGTAGACCCCTTAGGACTTTGGGGAAACCAGGAACATCATGAAGTCATTGTAAAAATTTTTATATATGTGCCTATGTGCCTTTTTAAAGGTAAACATCTTTATTGCTCATCAGATTCTCAAAGGGAATTTTGACTTATAGAATTTAGTCTCCTGGAAGAAATAGCTATAAGATACAGTTTATTATATTTCCTACAATGTCTTCAATAACCTAGCTAAGTAATTAAATGAGCACAGGATATATATAATGTTTCACTCATTTCCTATTAGTTAATTCATTAATTTCCAAACTGTAGAAAAAGGAAAATAATGTTTTCATCTCATAGTTGTTATGGGCATATAGAAAGAGAATAGATGTATAAAAGTTTTGAAAAGTTTAAAAAAATACCTTTTGGATATGATAGCTCATCTAGAGGCATGCAATAGGAAATTCTTCATTTCAGAATGCCTTATCATTTTTATTGAAATCATTGAGATTTTACTCTAAATCTTCTACAGAAGCAAGGCATACGAAATGTCTCCAAATGACACCAACTTCAAATGCATTTATTCCAAAACCACCTCTCACCACCAGCTAGCTAATTAATGAAAATTGCTTTATCACCCCATCATTACTCTCCATTCCTTGAAGATTTTTATTTCATGATTGTCACTCTTTCCAACAGTATTGCTATTATAATTCTCAGTGACTTAAAGGCAGAAACAGAAGAGATCAGAATGATGCTCAGTGAGGAAAAACTCTACCTGCTATTGCTGGCTTTGAAGATGAAGGAAGGATGCCATTGACCAAGGAATGTGGGTGGCTTCTATGTGTTGCAAAGGGCCAGGAAATGGTTTCTTCCCCAGAACCTCCAGAAAGAAACACAGTTCTTCCAGTGCCTTAATTTTTTAGCACCCTATGAGACCTATTTCAAAATTCTGATATCTAGAACTGTAAAACAATAAATTGTGTTGTTCTAAGCCAATAAATTGTGATAAGCTGTTGCAGCAACAGTAGGACACTAATACACCTTCCTTCTGTGAGTAGATGAAGTTCAAAATTGCCTCCACTCAACCCACGCTCCTTTCTTTGCCATGCACTTCCTCTAGTACCCAGCTCCAATATTTTTTTCAATCTCRTCAACACCCACAAGCCATTGATGCTATAACTTTTTTCACTGTCCCTTACCCAACTCATGCCTGCTCTTTCCTACTTATACAGCTCAGATTCCATAACCTAGCATCATAATCACTTACTTGCAGTTCTCAAATATAGACTCCCAGCTCCTGCATCCCTTTCTCCCTGTATCTTATTCCCCTGAATAAAAATCCTAACTCCAATGAAATCCAACCCTCCATCTCTTTTGTCCTTGAACCTGCTACCTGAACAGGGTTGGAGAAAACACCCAGCCAATCGGACGGTCTCACTTCAGGTTCATGACATTAATGAATCCTGTAAATCTCTGCTAGGATTCCACAGTCCCTTCACCAACCTACTGTCCTAGTAGACTTCTTCACTTCTCTTCTCTCTGGATCTATCCAAATTTTCTTTTGCCTTCTTCAACCTCTGCGGATGTTGTGTAGGAGACTTTAGTCCTTATTCCTTTGAGAAAATAGATGGTCAGAAGAGGATCTCCTTAATTCCCCACCACCTTATCTACCTACATTCTCACACTCTACTTTCTCCCATAACTGTGAATCATCCCTGATGGCATCTATGGAAGTTCTGCCCCTCTGTTGTACAGAAGACCTATCCGTTCATATCCTTCCACTCCTGTCTTCTTCCTGTGGAATCACTTTCCCACTCTATTTTTAGAGGGGCCCCCACAGCCCTCGCTGAAACCCCCATACTCCTCTGCCCCTTGAAAGAGTATCTGCAATCCTCTCCTCTATCTTCTCCTGAACTCAGCTCTAGCTAGGCTCTCATCCCCACCTTTCCCTAGAAATAGCTCTTGTCCAAGTCACCCAGGATCCCTCAAACCTAAATCCACAGATCAATTTTTGGTCCTCATCTTAGTTGATYGATCAGTAACATTTGATCCCATCTCTGGCCTGAATTATTGCAGAATGTCTCTAGCTGGACCCCAACTCCTGCCTTTACTGCCCTACCATCTGTTTTCTACTAGATATTTGGAACATTTCTGATGCCTTTTGGCTTCAGGGAGTCAGAAAGTGTCACTACTCAGCTAATCCTCCAATTGCTTCTTAGCTCACTTAGRTAAAAGACTTCCCACAGTGGCCCTTAAAGTTCTGTGGGGACTGGCTCATCATGCCCCTGCCCTCCCCTGATAACTGACTCCCCTGTGCTCACTGCACTCCAGACTTAGCACAGCACAGGAAACAGGTTCCTCCCTCACAGATCCTGTCCACCGGCTGTCCCCCTTGTCTAGAGCAGTCTTCCTGCGGGAGTCAACCTGACTTCCTCCCTCCTTCCTTCAGGTTTCTGCTCAACAATCAACTTATCAAAGTGGCTTTCCCTGACACCATCCAATGTGATAGAATACCAAACCTGGTCTCTATCCCCATCTTCTTTACCCTACTTTACATTTTCCCCCCATGGACCTATATTATAATAGATTATATCCTGGTATATACTGTATTGGTGTAATATATAATTTTATGTTATATCTGTATATATTTGTATATATTTTTTTCTTTATCCAGCAAAATATGTAGTCTACTGTATCCATGGGTCCCTTGTCCAAAGACTCCACCACATATTGAAAATAATGAAAAAAAAAAGTTGCATCTGTACTAAACATGTATAGACTTTTGTTTTGATCATTATTCCCTAAACAATAGAACACAAACATATTTACATATAATTTACATCATATTAGGTATTATAAGTAATCTAGAGATACTTTAAAGTAAATGGAAGGAGTTGGGGATGTGGCTCAGTGGCAGAGTAGTTGCTTATCATGTGCTAGGCCCTGGGTCTGCTCCCCAACACCACAGAAAATTAAATTAAACTATACAGAAAGGTGAGCACAGGTTATGCTATGCTGTTTATGCAAATGCTATGCTATTTTATTTATTCATTTTTTTGGTGTTTGATATTGAAGTCAGGGCATTGTGCATACTAAGCACACACTTTGCCACTGAGCTACATCCTCAGCTCTACACCATTTTATGTAAGGACTTGAGACTCCTGAGATTTTGGTATCTGCAGGGGACCTTGGAACCAATCCCCTGAAGATACTGAGTAACAACAGTAAATGCCATCAGGGCAGAGAGTTTGTTTTGTTCTTTACCTCTAGTATCTAGAAAAATGCTTAATGTATAACTGAATAAGTTTTTTTTAAGAAAAAGAAAGAAAGAAAGAGAGATTGAGTGAATATAAGTAAAATTGCATACTCATTGCATAGACTGGACTGTGGTTCTTCTTGTGGCTGTTTGGCAGCAGGGAAGGCAACATGAGCTTTTCCTATCTTCGCCTGTCTCAGCATAAGCCTTTATCGGATATTGATAAGTTTGATCCAGAGAGTTTACCTAGCAAATTTGCAACCTCAAGAGGCATCTTCTCTAGGGACGTCCTGGAATCTTGTGATGTCACCACTACCTAGATTTCTTTGTTGTCTTTTGATAATCTTCCCTTAAATGCACCCTTCTTATGGGATGACAGCAAAGTTAATTATTGATGTTGACAGTGAATGAATGCTCTTTGATATCTGTGAAAATCATTGCCTTTATTTCAAAAGAAGCTTACCAGGGTGAAAAAGCACTGCCTCCCCCATTGTGGGTGGCAGGAGCTCAATTCTGAAAGCACATTTAAAAATCATATTTGCTCAATAAGCAATATAATGATTGCACTGCCCCAATGGCATTCTTATATTTATATATAATTCATATCTGAATTTACACACTCCTAGAAAAATTAAGATGGGTAAGTTTTTTTCTCTTTCATTTTCAATTTTTCTTAAAGCTTCAACAACTTAAGGGTTTCTAAGGCGGTTATGGCTAGGTAATTTTGGCTGTCTTCAGCTTTAWCTATTTCACATTTCCATCCTCTCACAAGGAAATGTTTGCCATTCATAGCTAATCAGAGCCATGAGCAGAAAGGAGTTTTTCCCCTTCCTGTTTTTTTATTTTGGGGGGCGTTATTTTTTTTGCTTTTTTTTGTTTGTTTGTTTAAGGAAAGGACAAGTTGCTGCAGAAACTTGAGTTATGAAAATATTGGATTGAGAGAACACTATGGAGGGTGGAAAACTGGAATTTTGAGCAAACCATCCATTGTATTATGTTTATCAATCACTTTGCATGGAGGAGTGAAAGTAAATACAGAACATGTGAGGTGTGGGCTGGGTAGTGACGTTTGCTAGGGCTTCAGACAATGTGTTAGTGACAAATTTAAGGGTTCTTATCTGGCGGATAAATTAGATCATTTCTCTTACTGTGAAGTGCATGAATGATGCTATATGACAATTGACCAGCCACAGGGTGTGCTAGGAATTCCATTCATTGGGTATTAATAGCATCAGGATTATAAAGGTGTCTTCCTGACTTCATAATCTATTTTCAGACCAGCCGATTTGGAGGCTCGCCAGGTCTGCAATCTTGTCAGCATTGAATTGGACAGTGGGAGCGAAGCAGGTGAACCTGAAAGATTCAACTGAGGGACAAGGGGGTAGAAAAGAATAAAATGAAGTTTAAGTCTATTGTGAAAGTAAAGTATGTGGTACGGATAGCTATTTGAGAGACACTAAGCAGTCAGAAATGGATGATGGCCTGATTAGAGTATTCTCAGAGGAGTTTATGGCAAAGTGAGCGCTAACTAAAAACTGATATCATTCATTCATTCAAGTTTTGTTGTTGTTGCTGCACTAGGGATTGAACCTAGAGGTGCTTTACCACTGAGCTACATCCCCAGCCCATTTTTCACTTTACTCTTTTGAGACAGGTTCTTGCTGAGTTGCCCTGTCTGGCCTGGAACTTGCTACCCTCCTGCCTCAGCTGCAATTACAGGCTCGTGCTACCTTGTTCAACAATTAAGTAAGCATCTGCATTGCTCTTAGCATCTGGTAGCAGGGTGTGTTTGTGTGTGCATGTGTTTTGTTTGTGTGTGCATGAAGATAATTTTCTGAGCTAAAAAGTTAAGGAGGCYCACAAGTAAGATGAGGATGTGGTCAAAATAACCTGGGTTTGAATCCTGGTTCCACTTTTTAGCTGCATGACCTGGGATAAGTGGCTTCATTTTTCTGATTCTGTACAGTAGGCATCGTAACTGCCACGTCAACAGATTTCTGTGTGAACTAACTGAGGCAATTCTGTGAGGAGTAAGTGAGGCGATGTTACAGAAAGCAGCTCCACGTGGCCCATGGGAGACATTGACAATGTGGGGTTCTCTCCCCTTCTCCCAGGAAAGCAAATGGCTCCCAGCCATTCCTGAGGAAAGCAGGGAAGTAAATAAGGAAGCAGGTTTGTCTTTGAGGGCATGGCATTCCTAGACTCTGTGTGTGTGTGTCTGCAGTGAGAAACGCTTGATGTTGCCCATGAAATGCATGAGTCACCGTTCAAGTTTAGGTCCTGGGACGTTACAGGTCAGCAATGACACCAGACAGCCTTGCTTTGCTGGTGCTCATGGCCAAAGAGGAAAATGTTTGGATTGTGTCTAAGGAAATATCCATTGTAAACACAACCTTTAAAACCAGGTCACACATAAATCAAGGTGCCAAACAAAGACATGCTTTGGTCATTTCTGTCATCCGCAGGTTCAGGCAGCATTTTCAGTTGGCATCAGGTGACTCCCTGTCCTAGCACAAAATCATTGCCAGACTGGAGACTTATATCTTCCCATGGCACAGCACAAGATGTGCTAATAACAGACACCCCTGGGGGGCCCTCTGCCAGCCACAGCAGGGCTGCAGGAGCACTTTTGGCAAAGCATTGTCGGCACTGCCCTTTTACCCAGTTCCACAAGCCGCAGTCGCTTCAGGCAGAGTCAAGCAGATTCACTTTTAAGGCCCTGCCAGAATGAACAGGTATCTACTGAACAAGATCTACCTTCATCCTTTGAGCCAGGGGAAGAAGAGAGAGCCGTCCTGTGCCAAATCTGTAGCAGAGTCATGGGGAAGTGGTTAGGTCACCAACTCTGGCCCCCTCTGGCTCTCGTGGCTTATACCCCGAGGTGGCAAGTAACTGAGACTCTGCTGGTGACTAGGGCTGGCCTGAGGCTGCTGACCTGTGCAATAAGGGATAAGTGATAACAGTTCATTGCTCACTGAGGGCTAAATGAGTTAATATGTGAAAGCGGTTAGGATAGTCCTCAGCACCTCATTGTCCTTCCTAAGCCTTAACTGACATTAGCAGCAGGACTTCTAGTCCACTGGTGGAGGAGTTTGCTAATCACAATGTGTAGAGTGACTCAGATGCCTGAGGTCCTTTGTGCCACAAAAGAGAAGGTGGTGCTGTCAGGAGCACTCTGGTGGTTTTGAATACCCAGGTTGGCCACATAGTGGCTTTGGGACCTACAGGAGTGTGGTATTTAACCCAGCCTCATTTTTTTTTTTTTTTTTTGGTCTGTGAATGGGAATGGATATATGACTTAGCTTCGTGACTTGGTACACACTTAATGAACGGTGGCCATTGTCATTATCATCACCATCTTTCCCACCTGGAATTCACTTCCCACGTTAGAATTGCCTTTGGTAAGACAGTCTGCACAGAGATGAATAAGAGCAGGCGTATACTCCTTTCTGATTAATATGTGAAAGCAGGTTTGTATCTTTAAATACTTGTTTCCGTGATTGCCTGGGAGGAGTACACTGGAATAAAAAGGGAAGAGTCCTGGGTTTGRAGACAAAAGACTCAACTTTGAATCCTTGCCTTGCATTTGTCAGCTGTGTGCCCCTGAATGCCCTACAACCTCTCTGTGCCTCCCTGGTCTTCCCAGTATATGAGCCCCAGGGCTTCCCTGAGGACCAGCAAGATGTTGAGTTTGAAAGGAAGAGGAAAGGCAAGGTTCTYTTATGGAGCCACAGCAAGGCCAGGAATGTCAATGAAGGTGGGGAGAACCCAGCCCAGGCTGATGTGGCATTGTGTGGCTGCCTGGAGGAAAGAACCTCCTGAAACCTTGACCCATGAGAAGGACACCCAGGGCCCGTCCTGATGACACTGCCATGTCATCCTGAGGCATTTTCTTCAGGGAAACTTCATTTGTTCCAGGAATGCCTGGGGAAGGAGTCTAGGTGCAGAACTCTGCAGACAGGAGGGAAATTCCTGGGCAGGACCTCGCAGAGCATCAAGAGAAAGCAAAAATGTTTCTCTTCCCTTACCTCTTCCCTCCTCCTAGATTATGCAGAGTGGTCCTAATTACCAATCAATTCTTGGATTTTCCAAACAGGATTATAATGGACCCGTTTACACTACTTTCTTGAAAGGCCAGAGAGGGGAGGGTAAACTAAGCCCCATGGTGTTTGCCTTGAGACAATTAAAATGTGCTGCCGCCCCCACCCCCAAGCAGCTGTTGAAATGCCTTGGTCTCCCACGCCTTGGCCCTGGCTGGCTGCACCCTAAAGTCACATTCCTGGCAGGTCCAGGAAAAAAAAAAATCCACCAGAACCAGAAATGGCTCAGTGTTCTCCAGTTACCAGCAGGTGGAAGGTGGGGCTGCTTCTACCAGAAATGGTTTTGACAGATCCGCAGAACTCATGGGTGTTTCCCACTTCGTAGGCAGAGTCGTATGCCAGTGGCTGGTCCTCAGAAACCCAGGGTTTCGTCCTTGTGGATACAGGTTCCCCTTTCTCATAGGGTTGTTGCTCTTTTTCTTTCAGAGGACTGTGCCCACACCGTTGACCTGCCGTGACAATAGAGGGCGTTGTGTGTCTCCCTCTCCTTTCGTCTGCACTGGAATGATTTCCACAGAGAAGCCCACGTTCAAGGGTATTTCCCTCCCTGTGTAACCCTGACCGAGGCCTCATGAACTTGCTTGCATTGTCTCAAAAATGTACAGACATCCAGGAGACACTCAGGGGTTGCTCCATGTTTTTGCCCAGAAATGATGGAATCAAATTTAAATACTAAATTAAAAGTGCCTTTGTGAATAAATTGGGGTATGGTTTTTGGTTTTTTGTTTGTTTGTTTGCTTAGTTTTTTGCCCCATAGTCTGTCTTCATGGGGGAAAATATTTTATAAAGGTTAAAGGATACTGCTTTACAGAGTCATTAGCACGATAGTTTAGTGAAAATGCTATAATGACATTGATATGTCCTCTTTATTAGATGAGCCAACTCTTCTTGGGTCCTTACAAAGTTTTAGGGGYTGGGTTTTTGTAGGAAATCTAAATCGGACTAGGTTCCAAATAAAATTCTTACTCCCTTCTATTAAAAAAAAAAAAGCATGCTTATGGTTTTGTACAGCTTAACTTTCTACTTACAGGGCAATGTAAGAACTACCATGTATGCGTCTGAGTCTGACTTCAGCTTTTAGGCCCCAGTCCCCTGCTCCTATTCATGCCTGAGCTTCCTCCTGGTCACCTGCAGATCTCAGCCCCACAACTGTCCCTGGGACCCTGTACAGGGTAGGTTGCAGGTGATGGCAAGCCAATGCCTCCATAACCCAGCAGCACTCTCCAAAGAATCCACCAGCATCCTGGCTTTTCTGGGAAGCCCACTCTGAGACTTGCTCCACATGCTTTCACGGGCCCCCTGGCAGGATTACTCGCTGCCTGCTGTGGTCTCTTGCTCACTTGTACATAAAGATCAGCATCCTTCCCTTCTCTGTCTCATTTCCTATTACCTGCTGCAACCTGGGATTACTCCTTAACATGTCACCAGCCTTAATTTCTTGCCCCAAGTATGGTCCTGGAGGGTACAAACTTAGACATCCTCACCTAAAACAGGTAGGTCACATGAAGGATACTGAGTGTCAGCAAATGCCTCCACTCTGGATGGATACATGCTCTGAAACCTTCCTCCTGTGTTCCCGGGGTCTCCCTCCCTGGCCTCTAGWGGAAGCACTCAGTACTGGATCCTCCACCCTACTGACTACTCAAGCCAGCCCCCCACTCCCTAGAATTCCCTCTCCAACTGCAGCAATTTCCTTCCTGTAACCTACATTGTATCCCAGAAGGTACCAAGAGTTTAGCACTCCATGCTATGGTAATTCCACTCTGTGTCTACTTTGCTGTCCTCAACTAAATTGTCAGGTTCTGGAGAACTGGAGACCATGCAAAATGTTTTCTGTTTAGTTCAGTTTAGTTGTTTTGTATTTGTTTTTGTTTCCCATTGTATAGCAATCACATGCTGGTGATTGAGAAGGTACTTAATCAGTATATAGATTCACTCASCATTCAACAAACATGGGTCGTCTGCTTTATTTTAAGGGTTGGGAATATATTTCTCCCAGATTAACTGCAAATGTGGGCTATAGGCAATTAGCAGAAGTAAATGATTAATCATATGTTAAATAAGAAAGCATTAGCAGAAACAGAAGAAATAAAGCAAGAAAGATSATATGGATGGCTAGGTTGAGGACATAAGGAAACCTCAATTTTCTTGTATTTACTTATTTATTTATTATTTTGAGTAAAAACTGTATATAATTGTACCTTGGCATCCATGGGGGATTGGTTGCAATAACTCCCATGGTTACCAAGACCCATGAATGCTCAATCCCTTATATAAAATGATGCTCTATTTGCATATAACTCATGTACATTCTCCCATATATTTTAAATCATCTCTAGATTACTTATAATACCTAATCCAATCTAAATACTATGTAAAGAGTTGTTAGATTATATTGTTTAAGGAACAGTGACAAGAAAACATGTCTGCACATGTTCAATATAGGTGCAATTTAAATTTTTTTTTGTTTTTGCTTCATGGTTGGTTGAATTCACAGATTCAGAACCAGTAGAAAAGGAGGGCTGACTATATACTTAAGGTGTATAACATGATGTTGTGTTATATCTGTACATAGTGAAATGATTGCTACAACCCAGCAAGTTAACATTTCCATCTCTTTACCCAATTATCTTTTTTTTCTTTTATAACTAGAACACCTGAAATCTACCCTCTTAACAAATTTCCAGTATTTAACCTAGTATTATTAACTTTAGTCATCAGTGGGAACATTAACTCTCCAGACTGATTCACCCTACATGACTGCAACTTTGTACACGTTGACTAACATCTCCCATTTCCCCCCCTCCCCAACCCAACCACTCTTTTATCCTTTGTTTCTATGTTTGAAACTTTTCAAAATTCCACAGGTGAGATTATACAGTATTTTTTTTTATGTCTGGCTTATTTCTTGTCAGCATAATATCCTCCAGGTTCATCCATGTTGTCAAAAATGRCAGGATCTCATTTTTTAAGGYAGGATAACATTCCTTTATTTATATGTGTGTCTATCTATCTCACAACTTCCTTATAAGATAAARGAAAACAAGAATTGGCAAGATTGTGGAGAAAAAGGAACCCTTAGATACTGTTAGCGGGAACATAAACTAATACAGTCATTATGGAAAATACTATGGAGTTTCCTAAATAAATAAATAAAAATAGACTTACCATGTGATCCAGCAATTTCTTTTCTGGGCACATATCCAAAGGAAATGAAATCCATGTTAAAGAGCCATCTGCACATCCACCTTCATTACAACATTATTCATTGTCCACAATAACCAAGGCATGGAAACAACTGAAGTTTCAAGTAGTTTGTGAAGAAAGCTGCATTGAAAACATCACCTCTGAACAAAGACTTGAAGGAGAAGAGGGAGCATGCTCTACAGATACCTGGAAGGAGACTTTTCCAGGCAGGAAGAAGAGCTAATAGATGGGAGCAGGTCAGGTGCATTCGTGAAGCAGAAAGGAGATCAATGTTGAGGAAGCAAGGTCACAATCAAGGGAGATAGAGACACTGTGGCCAGCCCCAAAGGTCTGTGGCCAGTGTAAGGATGGGCCTTTGATTCTGAATGAGATGGGGGCAAGAGAAGTGTCACCATCTGACTCACATTGGAATAGGATGCACTGGCTGCTGGACTGACCATAGACTGTGGGTCTACGAGGGACACCTTGGGGAGGTAAAATGAGATGACAATGTTTGGGCTGGATGGGTTTTGAAGACAGAGCCTACTGGATTTTTCTGCTGGACGTCTGTGGAGCAGGCTAACTTCAATGTCCTGATCAAAAAGGTCTCCACCAGATTTTTCTACTGGCAAGTGATTAATTTTCCCTTTGTAATTAGTAAGCAATTTGTGGGGAGATATWTTTAGATTAYATAGATATCTTCTTCATCAAATYCACTAGTGAAAACCCTCTAGTTTAAGCAGTCTTTAATAACTCTTGCTTCAATTAATTATTGCTATGATAGTTATAAAATGGTGATTTTACTGACCCCATCATTCATTCTTTATTAATTGGTCCTTTATTGTAAAGAATCGCTTTGCCTCCTTGATTATCTATGTGAGTGTTATTTGATTTACTGTGTTTCAATATGTGTCCTTCTATATTTTGATGTTCAAAATGTCCCATATTGGCTGGTGGGAACCMTAGGAGGCTAATTCYTGTGCCCTTTTGCCAAATCCCCATCATTCTTTGAGTATTTCCTGATTTTCTGACATAGTTGTTTCAGGYCCATGGTWTACTTCCCTTGTCCTACACTTGAAACTCAACTATTTTTTTTTCCGAGGAGCCCTGGTTCCTTTGAGTGGAAAATAGCATTGAGACATCAGGACCCAAGTAGACTATGTATTTTTAAATTATGGATTTTTAAGTCCTTTGTTATTCAAATTTTCATATCTTCATTTTAACAGTGAAACTTTAGCTGAGTCCAATTTCAACAGAAAGAAACATGAAATATTAGAAGCTTTTAACCAAGATGTCCCTCATATTTCGACACAAAGTTACACTGGTCATAAAATCCTAAGTGTCCTGCCACATGGGAGTGCATTTTGGTGTACTTAGCTATCAGAGGAAGTGGCGTAGTTAATATTCTACGCTCATTCTAGAAAAATTCACCATCTTAAAACAATAGAATAAGTTTAACATCTTTTCCATAAGGAGATGTAAATGTTCTTGGATGACTCATTGTATACATACATCAAACTATGACTCTCTACCCCATACTTTTGTACAATTAAATTTCTTTAAGTTACCTTCACAGACCTTTAATATTTCAATTGAGTGTTCAAAATGTACCGTGATTGGGATAAGGCTGCTTATGCTCAGCAATGACCTTCTCTGGAGGCTTTTCTCTTTCTTTCCAAGAACTAAGGCACTTGTAACAATTATAATAATAAACATTATGCAATTCACAAATGACTTTCACAGATGTTATCTCAGGTAATCTCACAACAGAACCTCGTACTATAGTCATAGCCATCCTTCTTATCCACTTTGCAGATGGGGAAAGTGGCAGAGGAAGCCTAAACAACTTTCCTAAAGTCACATGAATGSAAAATATAGCCAAGTGCCTTTTCTAAAACCCTGAGTTTTCTAAAACATCCTTGGAGTTTCCATCCCTGATTACATATTAGAATAAAAAGACTTGGGCCCACACCTCAACCCACAGACTGTGCTTCAATGTATGGGTGGCAGACCATCCTTGGTAGCTTTTGCAAGCTCCACCACCAAGCTGATGGGCAGCCAAGGTTCAAGGTGGCTGTACCACACTGTGCTGCCCATAGTTCCTCCATAGAACTGGCAAGTGCCAGACCTCAGGCTTGTGACCTATGAACAAATGGAGCAAAGCCACAAAGGGGCCACAGCTGGGCAGGGCTTGAAAAGGAGAGGCTCCAAGGTTGGAGAGGTGCAGAATGGTTCTGGGACTTGGCCACTGCTTCGATCAGGGGACCTTCTCATCTCCTTCACTCATTCTCATGCAAAGCCTAGATTCTGGTTAGAGGGAAGCTTGGGGGTGGGGCATGGGGCACTACGCGTCCACTCTGGTGCTCCTGGAAAGTGTGAGTTGGCATGTTGTTGTGTCTTGGCAGATCTTTACCTATTTTAGGCTATGTCCTG